GGTTTAATTAGTTTCTAGGTCTGAAGAACAAAGAGCTCTGAGGTGTTGAGGACCACATCAAATTAAAGGTGTGCTCGCTGCGGAGGTGATGATGGGGAGCTGGCAAATTGGACCTGCCAGGGATGCTCGCTGCCTGTTGGTATTTCCACGCTATCATCTCCTCTTGTGGAGGGGCAATGGGAGCAGGCGTGGGATGCTGCAAACCTCTTCCCCTTGTGCGTGTGTGATGGTGAGGGCTCCCAGCACCCTCCTGCCGCTGCTTTAGGGTGCCTTAAACACTTTAAACACTGAAAAATAGAACAGGATCTTCTGTGCCAGTGAAGTGATGGGGTTTTAAATGCTGGTAGGCTGTGCTGGGAAGCTCCTGGAGGAGGCTGGCTTGGGGACCTCTTGAAAGCAGAGGCTGCAACAAAGCAGCTCCTCAATTTTTGTGGCTCTAAGGAAAGGAGATTTGAACCCTGCCATGAGACTGTGCCCACATGAAGGGGAAATAAACCCGGTCCTCCATGTGCTTTGGTCCTAAAAGCAGAGAGCACCCAGCCCAGACTGGGCTTTACTGGAGGATGTCTTCTATGAGGGTGGCTTTACTCCAGAGGCGTATGCACAAGAATGATGAATATTTCCCATTATTCACTCCAGTTTTATTTGCTCATGACTGCGGCGAGCTCGGGGCGAAACTGTCTGTGGGCAGCGTCTGCTTTAGGTTGAAACTTCGTGTTTGGGAAGGTCTGGCGACAACAACGCCACCACATCTGAGCGCGCTGGGAGGGATGGGTCTGCTTTGGCAGGCTTGAGAGGCAAAACAGAGCACACGCCGCAGCCCCGCTGCCGTGCTGCTCTGCACCATGGGCTGTGGGCTCTGCCGTGGCTGGGATACGGGGGGCTGAGCTCTCTGACCCGCTGGCTCGCTCGTCTTGCAGCCGTGATGTCCCTGGTGCTGCTCGTGGTGACTGCTCGTGCCCCGCTGCAAGGCGGATGGGGTGAGCTGGGCTTGCCCTGCCGCTGGGGAGCAGTGCGGTGGCCACGCTCTGCAGCGGTGATGCTAGTTAGCATTGATGCTCTGTGCTCCCTGCGTGGGTTCCCTCCTGCATGGGGGGGAGGAAGAGAGCAAAGCAATTGGAAAGCAGAGGGATGAGGAAAGCAAGAGGCGAGCAGGCGATGGGATGCCAGGAGGAGCACCAGGGAGTCCTCCACCCTTACCACGAGGCTCCTAGAGGAAAGTGCAATACTCTTGTACTGCTCAGGCTTGTAGCAAGGAGAGAAAGTAGCTCCCAAATGTGAGGTTTTATCAGATAGAAGCAAGAGCTGTAAATAACCAACCCCTTTTGTTGTCTGGGGTTAATCCCAGCCTGATGTGCTCTGTTTCCTGCAGGGTTTGGGTTGGGCAGGGGTAAGGATCCTCCTGGCACGCTCATGTGCTGCATCCCTGGCACAGCTTAGGTATGCACTGGATTAGCTGTGTGGGTGATGCTGCTGTTCAAAGCAGCAGCACTGTTTCCTGGCTCCTTGGGTGAGCTCCTCGTAGCCCCAGACCCCCTCTGCCTTTTGTTCTTCCTTTTGATTTTGCATTTATGTGAATGCTGAGATAAGGGAGTCAGGGCTGACCTGTGCACGTGCCTTCCCTCCTGGAAGGACCTAGGTGAAGCCCTGCATGAGGTCTCCAGGGGCTGTGTCTCCGATGCAAGTCCCAAGAGCCATTTGAGCTAAAACATGCCCTGGAAGGAGCAGAACAGAAGGACAGGGGGGTCTGGGACCCAGCGAGGTTGCTGTGTGCTGGTGTGCAGCAGGACGGACCATGGTCTCCCAGCATCAATGGCGTTTGGTAGCTTAATTTCATCTTTTGGCCTGGGGAAACTGGGGTCTGCTCCAGCCTTTTGTGAGCTGGGAGCATCTCAAGACCAGCTTTGCTGTTCTGCTGCATCGCTGCTGGCCATAGCCCAAGGCTGTTTCCCTGGGAATGAAACACTGATGCTGGCCAAGGGGACCAGGGTAGGCAAATACTCCATGGGGAGCAGAGGGTGGGGAAGGTCAGGATGCACCTAAACAGAAGCACACCACTCATATTTGTGTATCATTGAATTTATTTTATCCATCCCAAGCTTCTCCTCCTCCCTCTGCTGCAGCTCAGTCCTGCGGCAGGAGAAAAGCTCTTTTCCCATTAAAAGCTGGGCTCGGTTCTCCTGGGCTGGCTCTCTGGAACACAGCGCTTGCATTCAGCTGCAAGGCTCGTTGAGCGAGGACCCGTTTCTTTGCAGATATTTAAATGGAAATCGGGGAGGGTTGTTAAGCAGAGAGCAGTGAATTTATTCTGGTCATTTATTATTGATGGGTAACATGGCACTGTTTTAATAATGTTCTCTGATCCTGCTGCAGCACAGCAGTGTGGGACAGGAGCAGGCTCAGGGGAAAACAAAGCTCTCTGCAGGGACAGGCCAAGGGGAACGGCTTTAACCTGCAGAGGGGAGATGGAGATGAGCTCTTAGGCAGAAGCTCTTCCCTGTGAGGGTGCTGAGGCGCTGGCACAGGGTGCCCAGAGAAGCTGTGGCTGCCCCATCCCTGGCAGTGCTCAAGGCCAGGTTGGACACAGGGGCTTGGAGCAAGCTGCTCCAGTGGAAGGGGTCCCTGCCCGTGGCAGGGGTTGGAGCTGGATGGGCTTTGAGGTCCCTTCCAACCCAAACCCATTGGGGACCCTATGAACCCCCAGCAGGCGCTGGGAAGCTGCAGGCACCGTGATGAGCCCATGGCTCAGTGCTTCCTGCCACCAGGCGCTGCCTGCAGCAGCCTTTGTGCAGCAGCCGCCGTGCCTCGCCCGGGAGCAGGCAGATAAATCCCAGCGCCGGGCTGGGGCTGTGTCCCATGGATGAGGGGCTGGGTACGGCCCCCCCCGGCACGGGAAGGGGACGTTTCCTGGGGTCCTGGCGCACAGAGCCCGAGCAGCAGCGGGAGCCCCGGGCCCTGCCCAGCCCGCACCCATCGCCTCGTTAAAGCTCCCGGCAATACTGGGACCCTCTGCCTGCGAACGGACCCGCGTTCCTCCGCGCCGGCTGCGCCCGCAGAGCGAGCAGCACCGCCCGCGGGGCCTCAGCCCTGGGCTCCGGCTCTTCCCGCAGGGAGAAGCCTTTGGCAAGACCCCAGCGAGGCCTCGTTTGTCCCTGGGGTTTGCTTCTCTTCACACTGTGGCTGCTCTGCTGCTGTCCCTGTGAATGAGCCATGATGGATGGCCCTTGGAAAGCATCCGCTCCTCCCACGTTTCCACTGGGTTTCCCCGGGGCAACGGGACCCCGCTGCCCTCGAAGGATCCGAGGTGTGTGCTTTGGGGACAAACCCCATCCGAGGTGAGCCACGACACCTCCAGGACTCGGCAAAGCTCTTTATTGTGACACCGAGCCGCAGTGTCGCTGTGCAGCTCTGCGCTGAGTTCACCCTGGTGGTGATGTACAAGGGGTCTGGAAATGAAAGGGAATATTTTGCCTTTGTAAAGGAGAGGGATCGTGTCTGCTGTGTTAAATCCAGAGGCCTGGAGGTGAAAACCACCCGTGTTTGTGTCTGTGATGGAAAGCTTCCTGCGAGTTCATCCCTTGTAACTGGGGTGAGGGCTCTTGCACTGTGCACCATCACCATGCCGGTCACAGAGTTGGAATGGGAGCGGAGGGGTGTGCAGAGACACAGCTCCTCATGTTGTTTGAACACTGCCTGCAACTCCCAGGCCGGGCCATTTGAGATTAAAGAGATGCTGTTAATCTGCGTTGGAAATAAAACAGGACACACATGAGCTCATCCGCTGGGGCTGGACCGCTGCTGGTGTCAGCTTCAATTGGAATAAACAAGCGCTGCTCGCCTGTGCCGAGCTACTGAAGGCAGAGCGTTGCTGGGAGCAAGAGGCTGCTCCGCTCCCCAGCGAGCACCACTTGCCCAATTCCTGCTCATTTTGAAGCAGCGGCGGCTGTGGAAGCGAGAGGGTACTCAGGGGTACTCATTACCACTCGGCTTTGCGAGAGTTTTCCTCCAGCGCCCATAAAAACACTTCTCGCTCTCGCAAGGGATTCCACATCAAATATTCGAGGCAGATTACACTGAGCGCCACACAGGGGAGAGGGGAAAAAAGGGGTCTAAACCGTTCAGTTGCTTTAATAAAGGAGCCAAAAAGTTTAACACAGAGAAAGTGGGGGGGAGGCTGCTGGGTGCCAGCACAGCCTCTGTTTTGAAGTGGGTGCTGCTCCTGCTGAACCAACCCGGGGCACAGGTTATTTATTCCCTGCAGCCAAGAGCAGGCTCCTGGGCAGGGGTAACGTGCACGTGGCTCTTCCCGGAACCTCCGTGCACTGCTGCCTTAAGGAAACAAACCAGGAGGCAGGTGAGTATTGCTGCCCCGGGGGAGAGGTGGTGTTCGAAATGGGCTTGGATGCTGCTGGTCCGCACAGAGACATCTGCTATCGCTGGCAGTGCTCAAGGCCAGGTTTGGACACAGGGGCTTAGAGCAAGCTGCTCTAGTGGAAGGTGTCTCTGCCCGTGGCAGGGGTTGGAGCTGGGTGAGCTTTAAGGTCCCTTCAACCCAAACCAGGCTGGGATTCTGTGTTTCTGTTCTGGACCGTGGGGTAGGCTCCTGCATTGCACGTATGACTTGCAGCAGGGCAGGAGATGACTCCTGGGACCACTAACTTTGATTTATGGTGTAGGTGCTCGGTGAGCTCCCTGGCCCCTGCTGCCTGGGTGCTCCTTGCATCTCATTTGCACCTCGGTCCTTGCTGATAGTGCATCTCAGGCTGAGGAGCCCGGGCAGTGCTGCTCACAGCCCAGCTCTGGCTGATGCTGGGCACAGGGAGCTCTGCACTGGCTCCAGCTGAGCCTTGTGAGCACCTCTGGCACTCACCAGCACTCGTTAGGGAAACGGCCCTGATGGGGAATTAACACAGCTGAGCCAAGTCCTCGGCTTTCACTCGAGTGGGCAGGGACCAGCCCTGACTGGATAAAACAGCTTCAGACCTGCGGCTTCTGGCTATAGCACCATCAGGGACTGGGACCTCTCCAGCCATTTCTTCCTGCTGTGATGCTCTAACTCCTCTCTCCCCACCAGGAGCCTGGGATTGCTGAGCCTTGATTTGTCCCAGGTAATGGGGCAGGGGGTGAGGGTGCTCAGCAGCTCTGGTTTTACAGCAGGATGTGGGGAGATGCAGCATCCCTGGTGGCAGGGACATGGCTTTGCCTGGCAGCGCAGCTCTTCTGGTGGTGTCCTGCCACAGGAAAACATCCAAACCCTGCTAAAGCTCCTGAGAGCACGGTTTTGCTCCACAGGCACCATCTCCCCTCTCACAAACACGCTTTGCTGCTTCTCTCTCAGGTTTTTTCTACCGTGTAGTTATTTTTCTCCTCTTAATTGCACTGCAGAGTGTGACCCTGGCTCGCAGGGGGGAGATGCTCCATCCTGTGACCCCAGTGCTGCTTCTGGGCAGGCTGTGGCATCCTGTGCATGCCCAGGGGTACATTGCTGAGGGCTATTTTCCCTTCCTGTGCAGCCTGGAGGGAGGGTGCGTGGTGCATGTGTGGTCCCTGAGCCTTCCCCGCAGCTACTTTGTGTTGGTTAGAGATGCTTTGTGAGCTGGTGCTTGGATCTGGGGTGTTTGTGATGCCCAAAGCCACATAGAACCTCTCTGGGGCGGAGGGAGGCCCTCTGGGAGCGAAGGCTTGGGGCAAAGCCACCAAACCCACCCGTTTGGAGGGCTGATTGCAGCCGGCGTGGCTTGGATGTGGTGATGAAACGGTTGTGTCCTGCCATGAATAACCCCAGGGCTTCATTTCCCAGCCCCGGGAGCTGCTCACACCCTGTGGCATCATCTGGTGGGTGACAAGGTGTGGCCCAGGGTGGCTCTGTGATGATGGGGCTGTTTGCCATCTCATGGAGGAAGCAAGGGAGGACCCCCCGGTTCCCTCCTCACACCCATAAATCCATGGGTCCAGATGGGATGCACCCGCGGGTGCTGAGGGAACTGGCGGAAGTCATTGCTAGACCACTCTCCATCATCTTTACCAAGTCCTGGGAAACGGGAGAGGTGCCTGAGGACTGGAGGAAGGCAAATGTCACCCCAGTCTTCAAAAAGGGCAAGAAGGAGGACCCGGGTAACTATAGACCGGTCAGCCTCACCTCCATCCCTGGGAAAGTGATGGAACACCTTGTCCTTGGTGCCATCTTAAAGCATATCAAGGATAAGAGGGTTATGAGGGGCAGTCAACATGGCTTCACCAGGGGGAAATCATGTTTGACCAATCTCTTAGCCTTTTATGAGGAAATAACACGGTGGATGGATGATGGCAGAGCGGTGGATGTGGTCTACCTTGACTTCAGCAAAGCCTTTGACACAGTCTCCCACAGCATCCTCACGGCTAAATTGAGGAAGTGTGGACTGGATGACCAGGTAGTGAGGTGGACTGCGAACTGGCTGAAGGAGAGAAGCCAGAGAGTTGTAGTCTATGGGGCTGAGTCTAGTTGGAGGCCTGTAACTAGTGGAGTGCCTCAAGGGTCAGTACTGGGACCGGTATTATTTAATATATTCATCAATGATTTAGATGAGGGAATTGAGTGTACTATCAGCAAGTTTGCTGATGACACTAAGCTGGGAGGAGTGGCTGACACGCCAGAAGGCTGTGCTGCCATCCAGCGAGACCTGGACAGGCTGGAGAGTTGGGCAGGGAATAACGGGATGAAATATAACAAGGGAAAGTGTAGAGTCCTGCATCTGGGCAGGAACAACCCCAGGTTCCAGTATAGGTTGGGGAACGACCTGCTAGAGAGCAGTGTAGGGGAGAGGGACCTGGGGGTCCTAGTGGACGACAGGATGACCATGAGCCAACACTGTGCCCTTGTGGCTAAGAAGGCCAATGGCATCCTGGGGTGTATTAGAAGGGGGGTGGTTAGTAGGTCGAGAGAGGTCCTCCTTCCCCTCTACTCTGCCCTGGTGAGACCCCATCTGGAATATTGTGTCCAGTTCTGGGCCCCTCAGTTCAAGAAGGACAGGGAGCTGCTGGAGAGAGTCCAGCGCAGGGCAACCAAGATGATTAAGGGAGTGGAGCATCTCCCTTATGAGGAAAGACTGAGGGAGCTGGGTCTTTATAGTTTAGAGAAGAGGAGACTGAGGGGTGACCTTATCAGTGTCTATAAATATATAAAGGGGGAGTGTCACGAGGATGGAGCCAGGCTCTACTCAGTGGCAAACAATGATAGGACAAGGGGTAATGGGTACAAACTGGAACACAAGAGGTTCCACTTAAACTTGAGAAGAAACTTCTTCTCAGTGAGGGTGACGGAACACTGGAACAGGCTGCCCAGGGAGGTTGTGGAGTCTCCTTCCCTGGAGGCATTCAAAGCCCACCTGGACACATTCCTGTGTAACGTTATCTAGGTGTTCCTGCTCTGGCAGGGGGATTGGACTAGATGATCTTTTGAGGTCCCTTCCAATCTCCAGCATACTGTGATACTGTGATACCCTCAGCACCTCTTGTAGGGTCCTGGCTGCCCCATGGTTGCAGCCTTTAACTGCTCAGGGTGTTCTTTCCCTTTCCCAGTGTTTAATTGCTGGATTCCTCCTTGCCAGCAGCACCTGCAATGGAGCTCGTGAGTCACAAGCCACCCACGTTGAGTGTTTATTAACCCACAGGGCTTTCAACAGGCCGCATACCAGCAGCGTTACCCAGTGCCGGCCTCCACCCAGCCCCGTGCTCTGCCCCATGAGGACGGGTGTGGGTATGGGCTGGCCCAGTGCCATGGTGCAGGTGTGATCCCTGGGCTGGTGCCAGAGACATTGCTCCATGACGCTGTGCGGGGATGGACTGGGAGGACCAGCCTGCAAGCAGGGATGCTGTGGGGCAAATAACCCAGGAATGCCAGCCTGGTTTGGGTTGGAAGGGACCTTAAAGCTCGTTCAGTTCCACCCCCCTGCTGCAGGCAGGGACACCTTCCACTAGGCCAGGTTGGTCCTGAGAAGCAGCATGGGTTGCTGTGGTTTCATGCTCGTAAGCAAATGGATTTGTGGCTTCAGTCAATTGACTCATAGCTGAAGCATTACTTGGCAAGTGGAGGAGCGCTCCCGCTCTCACCGCCGCTCCCCGGCATCCTTGCTGGCAAGTAACCCACCACGGGCGACAGTTTAGGCAGGATGTGGCTGTGGTTTCTTTTGCTGCTGTTCTTTTTGGGGGGGTCTTTTTCCCCCCTTCCAGCTGAGATCCCCTCTAAAGCAAACAAATCTCTGTGGTTGGGCAGCTGGCTGTGGCTCCGGGGGAGGAGGCAGTGATGCTCTTGATGCTGCCTGCTCCTGGGATGCAGGTGGGGAGCAGTGGTCCATGTCGGAAGGAGCAGCAAGGTCACATCCTCAGCCTGGTGTCAGTTCTACAGGGTTTCTGCCCCTGTGCTCTGTTTCCACTGAGCATCCCTCAGCTTATTCCTCTTTTCCTTTTCTCTGCCTTAAATTTTCCAACCCTGGCTTTTGCAAAGCGTCCATGATGGGGTGCATGGGGTTTGGGCTTTGCCTCTGATGGATGGGTTTCTACACAGTGAGGAGGAAGGGGAAGGAAGAGGAAGAGAGGAGAGCAGCAGAGGGCTGGCAGTTTGCTAGGCCAGCAGCTGACAGGTACGGAAACATGCTGTGCTTTGCTGCATGTTCCCATCCACAGCGAGTTCTTGTGAAACACTGATTTCGAGAGCAAGTGGCTGGGGTGGCTGCGGCTCCCGTGCCGGTGCTGTGCCACCCCTTGCGCTCACCCACACCTCCTGCGCCCCAAACCCTGTCTGTGTGAGCCAAGGGTTTGCTCCTGCAGGGGAAAGCAGCGTGGTGGTGCTGGGTTGGTGTTACCAGCTCTGGTTTGGAGCTGGGTTTGGGGGGGGTTTATTCTGCAGACCCCCTTTTGCCTGGGCTGCCTGCTGGCAGCAGAGCGCAGCACTGGGGTGCACGGCTCCGCAGCACCAGGGCTGCCAGTAACCTGGAAGGAAGTGGTCTGTGGAACGGTGGCAGCGTGGAGTGGTTCAGGAGTGCGGCCGTAGCTGGAGGCTGTGCCCGGGGGAGCCCATTGATTCCCACCACAAGCCAGGCCATGAGAGGAAAAAGCCATCCCAAGAAACGCCCGTGCCATTAACCTTTTGACACAGACCTGGAGGGGAGCAGGAGGTGGGAATGGCCAGAGCTGAGCCCTGGGGCTGGGTAACACAGAGAAGGCTCCTTCGGGATGTGCATGTGGGGGTTACAGAGTCTTTATTCCTCCTTGTTTGTCTTGTATCAGAGCAAAGCCAGGTGCTGGGGAATCCTCCTCATCCCAAGGAGCCTGCATGCCCCCAAAGCCTCTCCCCTCTGGGATGCATTGGGCAAAAGCCATTGGTCTTACTTTTCAGGGCTGATTTTCTGGAAGTGCTTTATTTTATAGTCTGATGGTGATGCAGAATCCCAGGATCCAGGACTGGTTCAGGTTGGAAGGGACCTTAAAGCTCCTCCAGCTCCAACCCCTGCCACAGGCAGGGACCCCTTCCACTGGAGCAGCTTGCTCCAAGCCCCTGTGTCCAACCTGGCCTTGAGCACTGCCAGGGATGGGGCAGCCACAGCTTCTCTGGGCACCCTGTGCCAGTGTCAGAATCTCCCACGTTAGAATTATGGGGGTTTGCTGGGGTTTTGTGTTTTGCTTTTTAATAGAAGATCCCGATATTAAATTACCAGGAAAGCGTGAGCAAGTCAATCAGCATCTTGACTGAGCATCTTCTGCATCACTGCAGCCACTGCTGCGTCAGGCCTGGCTTGGTGTCTCCCCATCCAGCTCTAAAAAGCCCCCACTTAAATCTCCCTATGCCTCAGAACGCCGGCCCTACCAACAGATGGGGCCCTGCTAATTCCTTTCCCCGGTGCCATTTAGTTTCTTGGGTGGCAGGATGCAATTTGTGTTTGAGTTTGGCTTTCTAGTGAGACTCTTGGCTTGTCACTCTCAAGGCACAACATGCTCCTTAAATAGCAGGCTAAATTTCTCCACCTAGCCTTGAAAAATAAAGCACTCCTCTGCCAAATGAAAGGACATATTCCAGTATTCTTTGTTGTTGCAACAAATTGGGTGGATACTGTCAGACTTCTGTATTCTGGGA